TATCAAGGTCTTTTCATGGAGGTAAATTAAAAGAAATCTGCGAAGCACGAATGGTGCACCTCTTCAAGTTATCACTCCTATCTGATGCATCGGCATGAGGACCTTTTAAAGATGGGACGGGGGGAAATGATGCTAACCTCTACACCTGGCCTGATCATAACTTACTGGCATAGTTCCATGGGATATCAAATTGATATTCAACCTGATTCCCTATCCCGCTTTCCCAAGGCCCCATTTCCTGAGGAAGACTTTCAAAAGCAGTGACATTCTATTATATTCAGTGGTTTCACATTCTATGACCTTCCCAATTTCCCAGTAAGGTCAAGGTGGAACAGAACTGACCACTTTGCCCTTTGCCATGGTGTATAAACATGTACATCATCATCCACAGTTAGGGTGGAAAATAACTTTGCAGCCTGAGATCAACCAAAAATAACAGGTTCATGCTGTCTAGTTCTAGTGCCCATGTCTGAGTCCATAACAAAAACACACCTTTATCCCTAGTGTTTATAATGCTGATGTCAGAGGGAGTGTCCTGCCTCTTTGGCTATGATAATCCAGTGAGATAGTTGCTGTTTCTCCAACATAAACAGACTAATGTATAGTTGGTAACATTAGTAATTTCAGGGCTTGGGCTTTTCATTGCTAGTGGTTTGTTTTATTTGGGAGCCAGTTCTTCTGAAGTCTGACTCTTTTGTACCTCTTTGCAAGTAAACTTTCCTTTTTCTTTTATAAAAAGCTCATCTCTTCTCACAAAGACCTTGAGTCCCCAACTCTGGACTATGGAATGTGAGTGGCGGAAGAGTTGCAGACTGCTGCAAGGGGTGAGGTGGGGATTCTCCACTGAGGCGGGTGTTCAAACAGAAGAGCACTGACTGGTCACTTATGATTCCAGCAACACATGAAAAAATGTATCGGGTGACTTTTAAAGTTCTTTCCTTTCTAACACCAGGATTCTGTTTGTAAAAGAGGGTGCCAAATGAATAGTGCATGCTCTCGGTCATTCAACAAATGTTTGCTGAGCACCTATTATGTGCTGGGCTTTATAGGAGGCTCTGGGGATATGGTGGAGAATAAGACACGCGTGGTTCCTGTTCTCGTGGAAATTATAGTCTAGTGGAGCGAGAAGACATTAATCAAGTAATCATAAATAAATGTAAAAATTACAGCTGCAATACGAGCAACAAAGGAGAAGTGTGTGGTGCCATGGGGATCTGACCCACTCTGGAGGGTTAGAGAGGATCTCCTAAGAAACTGCCTCTGCTCTGGCCTGGGAACATGCAGGCATAAATGACCCTATACTCAGTTAAGCTATAGAATTCAAATATTTCAAAGCTTTTAGATTCACTAATATCCATACTGAGAAACTCTATAAAGGAATTGTTAGAAACATTTGCCAACAAGGGATGTAGTAGGTAGAAATTAACTCCTCGATAAGTTAGGAGAACAGAAGTTAAGTAAGTTCAGCTACATTCATTCACAGCAGTGGAGACCCATGGCTATCTAGTCTGATTTATAAAATGTTTATCTCAGAAATATTACAGAACAATTTTCTTTTTTTCAAAGAGAGAGAGAGAGAGAAAGAGCTTGTGGATTCTTCTCACGATTGCATTCTGTTTGAATAAAAAAATATATCTAAGGGAAGACAGAACCACGGTTGGCACTTAGTATTTGTTTAGTGGACTGACAAGTGAATAAACAAGCACAAAGGCTAACAGGAAATTTAAAGTCAAATATTTGGACCCAGCGGGTGTGGCTCCATGGTTGAACGTTGACCTGTGAACCAGGAGGTCATGGTTCCATTCCCGGTCGGGGCACAGACCCAGACTGGAGGCTTGATACCAAGTAGGGGGCACGCAGGAGGCCAAACAATGATTCTCTGTCATCCTTAATGTTTCTCTCTCTCCCTCTCCCTTCCTCTCTGAAGTCAATTAAAAAATATTTATATTTTTTAAAGTCAAATACTTGGGTTTAAAGAAATCAATTCCACAAATGTCACATGGGAAACTTTTCTTGCCAAATGCTCTTGAGTAAAAACTTAAAGGGGTTTAATTATCTATAACATTATATGGGCCAAACATTATTATAAAATGTCCTAAAAGCTAACATAAGTGAAGGTCTTATCAAGCACAGTTCAGAGCCCAGTTCCCTGGAAATAATCATCCCATTCTATTCCTTATCTGCCAGTCAGCCCTGGATGCTCAGTGTGCACCTGGCTTCCTAAGAGGAGCACTGGGGAACTTGGGAGCACCCAGAAGTTGGAGCTGGGTATATAAGTAAGGTGGCATGAGGGTGGCCTGGAGAAGAGAGAACCTGAGGACTGCCTTCCAGTCCTTGCAGGCCTGTCACATGAGAGAGGAGCAGCTTGTACTGTCCTGTCTCCAGGCCCACCCCCAGCCACTCAATACCAGGGATGCCTAGTTGGCTCCAGGGCTCTGACTTACCTTGACCAGTGATTCCCACATGGGCCTGTGGAGCAAGAAGTTACTAGATATATCACACACACAAAAAGAGGAAGGCACTTAACTATGTTTAGCTAAAATTATACAGACAGGATTTCTTACAGGAGAATCTTTTGGAATCTTCCTATGCTAACAATGTGAATTGCCAAGACAGAGAGGTGTATCCAATTTTCCCAATCATCTCTGAACTCAGAACCCTCTCATGGGAAACTTTGTTCTAGACTTCCAAACACCCTGGGAAACCTTGTTCTAGACTCTTCACTTTCATTTGAAACAGGTACATGGAGTTAGAACACCAAAGATTTAGACATAGTGTTTGCCTTCAAAGACAGCTTCATCTGTAAAGAAGAGTGACTGGTACCAAGCTTGCTCTGGGTAACACTGGGGGGAATTTCATGGGAAGAGACTACCTCACAGGTTCACTGGCTATTCACTTAGTGTCCTGTGGAGTAATGTAGCATCACCCATATTTTATGAGGTAGGAAAGAACTAAGTGGTACCCTAAGTGGACCTTGGGAAATCATCCAGCCTTCTTTGTGGACACTTTGTTCAATGCTACAACTCTTTCATCATTCTTAATATCCTCCAATTCTATCAAGCCAATTCATTACCAAAAAGTATTGCCACTCCCTCAAGGATATTCAATTGCTTATCTTATATAATAAAGAGGTAATGTGCAAATTGACCATCACTCCAACACAAAAGATGGCCATCCTCATACGGTCAAAGATGGCTGTCTCATGTGGACACAAGATGGCCAGCAGGGGAGGATAGTTGGGAGAAACCAGGCCTGAAAGAGAGAGCAGTTGGGTTCGACCAGGCCTGCAGGGGAGGGTAGTGGGGGGGACGGGACCCAGGCCTATAGAGTAGGGCAGTTGAGGGGGACCAGGCCTGCAGGGAAGGGTAGTTGGGGGGAACCAAGCCTGAAAGAGAGGGTAGTTGGGAGGGACCAGGCCTGCAGGGGAGGGAAGTCAGGAGCAACCAGGCTGGCAAGGGAGGGCAGTTAGGGGTGACCAGACCTGCAAGGGAGGGCCATTAGGGGCAACTAGGCCAGCAGGACAGGCAGTTAGGGGCAATCGGGCTGGCAGAAAAGTAGTTAGGCATTGATCAGGCTGTCAGGGGAGTGTGTGGGGGCCAGATCACGGTCCCTCAGAGAGCTGGAGGGCCGGACTATATGAACTACTAATTCCTACTGTAACACCTCGGCTGCGCTCACTGCCCAAAAAACCTGGCGGGCCGGATCAGACTCCTCTGCGGGCCGCATGTGGCCCGCGGGCTGTAGTTTGAAGACGCCTGGTAGGGGGTGATCAGGCTGGCAGGCAGAAGCAATTAGGGGCAATCAGGCAGGCAGGCAGGCAGACAGGCGATTGGGAGCCAGCAGTCCTGCATTGTGTGAGGGATGTCCCAGATTGGATAGGGTGCAGGCTGGGCTGAGGAAACCGTCCTCCCCCCTGTGCATGAATTTTGTGCACTGGGCCTCTAGCAACTTTATAAATAGGTGTCTCAAAATTCCCACCCTGCCCCAGAACTTGCGGGATAATAAATGAAATTAGCATTCTATTCTGTTTAACCTCAAATGAACTGCAACTCAATGGCAAGATTCATAAAACACTAGATTTTGGTCTTCTTTTCTTTGCAAAAGAATGGAAGTAGAATACTGAAGGACAAAGAAGATTGGTCTTTTTACTTCAAAATATGGGGTAGAGGGAATAGGAGGAGGAGAAATATGGCCACTGAAGAACCTTGCAACCTAGCTGGAGACTAACACATAGGAAAGGGCCACACATTGAAATGGATGCTTGGAAAGGGAGATCGATGTAGTAGGATAGGGTAGTGGGGAAGGTCACAAAGGTGAGAATTCAGATAAACATCGGATAGGCAAAGAAGAGGGAGAGCACAGAAAGTGAGGTTTAAGGGTGTTGGGACATCCCCTAAGCATCCCACATCCCCTCTTGCATTGTACCACAATTTACACATACATCCTCATGGTCAAGAAAGTAGTTTTTAATTTCTTGATCACCTAGCAACTTATTAGATAGTTCCACCCTAATGGTCTCCCTTCATTTAACCTTAATAAATCACAACTCGTAGCTATAGAAAACCTGGGCCTATTAAAGAGAATGATTTAATGCTGTGCTAAAACCTTAAATAAAAATGAAAAACTGACTTGCACTACCATATTTCTTCCTAGAAATGAAAACATTTATAAAGGTTTCCTTGACCACTGAGGGAAGAAAAGTATGTTTATCACTCTGTTAAGTCCCCACAGACCCAATGACCAGGCTGCCGGGGAGGCCCCCAAGTTTCCTGTCTCAGTAGAGGTGATCCTCCTGAAATTAAAATTAGCCCTCCTCGGCGGAACGTGCTTGCTGCGTTTCAAATGTGTACACTTCATCAGGGTTGTTATAAATAAGTTGCATCCTGATTTAGGACACATCAGCTACCGTAGCTATTTCAGTGCGGCCCTCGCAGTCTAAGCTTACACCGCAGGTGGTGTTGACAGGAAAAGAAAGGGGTAGCACAGGGCTGCGCACTTACCGGTCCCGAAGCTCTCCTCCCCACAGAGGGACAGTTTGCCAGCATCCATCAAATTCCCAAAAAACTTCCAACCAGTGGGGGTCTCATACAAAGCGATCTTTGTAGCATTGGCCACCCTTCAAAGGCATGAAATCAGAGTTACATCACAGTGGGACCGTTAGCATAGCAGTGTGAGGGAGGGGAAATAGCAACCATTATTGTAATCAAGGGTCCCATTTAGTGCAGCTCAGAGGTAGACACGATTGTAGGATTGGTGGAAAATCGTCAGAGAAAACTTGTGCACAATGGGCTATTCTATGTGGACTCAGACGAGGGGGCAGAAGAAGAAGAAGAAAGAATTAGTTCAGCTCACTGACTTTCATATCTTAGAAGAAGCAACAGGAGCAAAATGTGAAAGCTTGTTTTGGGGGCTATTTAAACGCACGTGTTTTGGAGACAGTCAGCATCGATAACTATTCTATAAAGAACAAAAGAATGGTGTTTTGGTGTACTTATAATGACAAAACAATAGAACATGCGGTCTAGGAGGTCAGCGTTTTACAGAGAAAGAAAGAGGGTGCAGAATGTTGTGTGATCAGCCCTGGCCGGTTTGGCTCGGTGGATGGAGAATCGGGCTACAGACTTGGGGGTTCCAGGTTCGATTCCAGTCAGGGGCATGTACTTTGGTTGAGGGGAACATCCCCAGTGGGGGGTGTGAAGGAGGCAGCTGATTGATGTTTCTCTCTCATCGATATTTCTGATTCTCTATCCCTCTCCCTTCCTCTCTGTAAAATCAATAAAATATATTTAAAAAAAAAAAAAAAAAAAAGGATATTGTGTGATCAGCCCAAGGTCACACAGCTGGGATGCCCTGGGCCTGCTATTCAGCTGCCAGTCGAATGTTCCTTCCATTTCAACAGAAGGCCCTGCAAACACAGTGCCCAGCAGGCTCTCCCACTGGCACCAGTTTCATCCCACTGACCCGTGGTCCCCTGACCCCTCCAACACATCTTCTACTTCTCCCTATGCTTCTTTAGATTATTTAAAACTTTCTTTAAGTGACTTCTTTTTAGATGCCTTGCCCTTCGAACAGGAAGTTACCACAATTCATTCACTGTTTTGGTGAGGTTTGCTTTCCAGAACGTGTGCCTGATGCTGACAAAACAGTGTCGAGTTTCGATTCTAACACTTGAGGAAAATGATATCTAAGATTCTGAAAACTGGGAAGCACAATGAACTTCTAACTGGGTAATGAGGCGTTTCTATTGTGACTCCATGTATGGATTATCAATTTTTCCAGAAGTTGGAATTAAACTGTTCTTGGATGATGCAGAAAGTATTTCAAGATCTGAAAGGTCTGATGTACAGTGATGTGGCCACACACCAGCTCATGAGTTTAGGTGGAGGATGCAGAGGCAGACGCCCTGGGTTCTGATCCAAGCTCCTATTTAGCGGTGGGGTCCTAGGCAAGACAGCCAGCTTCTTTTTTGGTTTCTTCTTCTTAAAAATAAGGATTTCTATGCCATAGCTTGTTTGGCTCAGGGGAGAGTGTTGGCCCTGAGGACTCAAGAGGCCCGGGTTCGATTAGGCTCAAGGGCATGTACTTAGGTTGCAGGCTCAGTCCCTGGCTCTGGTCAGGGCTCATGCAGGAGGCTACTAATTGATGTGTCTCTCTCACATTGATGTTTCTCTTTTATATCTCTCCCACTCCCTTTCACTCTCTCTAAAAATCAATGGAAAAATATCCTCGGGTGAGGATTAACAAGAAAAAAAATAAAGATTGCTGTGAGGATCAATTGAGATGGTGAATGTCAAAAAGCACTGTGTAAACCACAAACCATTACATGAATATTAATCATTATTCTCTTGTTAGTGACATCAGCACTGTTCTGTAACACACACACACATACACACAAAACCCACAATAGAAAACTGCTACCTGGCCCAGTGGTTAGGAGCAAAGATTCTGGGTTTAAGTCCTGACTTAGCCTTTTACTAACTGGATGACCTTGGGTGTGCGACTTAACTTCTTTGTCCCTCTTGTTTTCCCACTTGTAAAGTGGGGTTTATATAATAGCATTTACCCCATGGGGTTGGTCTGAGAATTAATGACTTATGCTTAGCATATTAAGTATTCAGTGTCGAGGTAATTCTCAATTAATATTAGTTATTATTATAAGAGCCTAGATATATGCTTTCTGTTTTCCTACCTGCTCTGGCCTTTTATTCATTCTGTTGTTCTTTATTCATTCATTCAGCATTTACTGGGCACCTAACGTTCTAGTTAACATTCTCCCTGGTTGGCCCTCATTTGTTATTTATTACTGATATTTTTTCAATAATTTTAGATCTGATCTTATAAAGCTTTTACAAACAAGGTTATATATAATAAGTAAATAAGATATCCACTGTTTATTGTCACGGGGTCCTTTCTCATAAAAACTGAATGTAATTTTTTTTTAACTATTTGAGCTTTCAGTTTATTTCGATTTTTGATAAGTGAACATTTTCTGTGTTTGTATGTGCGTGGGTATCCAATGAGGGAGGGGACGGGGAATGCTTCTCTGAAACACTGATCTTACTTCAGACTGCTCTTTCCCCGCACTCTGCACATTGCTAACAGAAGTGGCTCTTCAGAATAATGTCTTGACTACAGTGGGAGGGCCATCCATTCATTTATTCATTAACATTCCATCATTCATTTTCTAAACTGTGTGTGTGTGTGTGTGTGTGTGTGTGTCCTATTACCTACATGCTAGGCACACTATGGTCAGGTGGAGTTTAGGATGGTGAATTAGTCTTTTCTCTGTAGAAGTTTACAGTCCAGGAGGGCAGCTAGTCAAGTACACAGGCTACCAGAACACAGCGTGGTACATGCTGTAGTGGAAGAAGTGCAAGATGCTAAGGGATCACAGAGACATCTCACCCAGAAAAAACTGCACCCATTCCTTCCTAAAATAAGCACTTACTTAGCATCAGATGCCCTGGCTGGAAGGGGAGGAAGAGTGTTCCAAGCACAGAAAAGGGCCTGCCGAGGGCTAAGGGAGCGGAGAGACCTACCTGTCCAGGGCCCCGCTGGTGGGCATGCTGCGTGCCAAGCCGCGGACCCCGGTTTGCTGGAAGTATGGAATGCTGAAGATGTTGGCAGCAATGACAGCCACGGAGTCCGAAGGGTTCACAAAGAAGCCGTGCTTGCCCAGAATCATGTTTCGATCCTTTGAGAGAGAGGGGGTTTCAAAGGAAGAACTTTTAGTCAAACTGTGGAAGAAATCAAACTATCCCAGATGGTGGGAGCAGGAGGGGGAATGGGAACTTTAAATTATAAAACCTAAAACTGATACACTTATTCAGTGTGGGTTCTAAACACCGGATTTTGTTTCGAATGGATCTGTACAGTACCACTGGGCCAAAGAGCTCAAACTGCTTTCAATGAAAGTGCAGGCCAGCTCCTTCTCAGCCGAATACCCTGTTCTCCCTCCAGAGGCCGGCTGACTTTAACCTCCCAGACCTTTCCTAAACCCTGGAACCAATCACCTCTCTACCAGAGGACAGGAGAGACAGAAACAAGAATGGAAATGTTGGCTGTTTATACAGTTTGGTAGGCCTGTCTGGCATCCTGTCTGGCATCCTTTGAGGAACAAAGCAGATTTCTTCAAGGAAGGGCTTCTAAACCATGGCCCGTCCATTTGGTGCAGAACCAACAAGGCATGCTGCCACCATCCCTGCTTCCTCGGTGCCTGATATGCAGAAAGTTCTAGAACATGGGGAAGAGAAACTCCCATCATACACTGCCTCAGAAAGATGCATTGCTCCAGACCCCTTCAATTTCCCCAAATTTTGATATGGGAAAACTTGTATTTCAGGAAAATAATAAATCTAGCTAATGTCAAAGAACAACAAGCAACAATAAAGAATATACATATTTTCAATGGGGTAGACATGTGTAGTGCCTATTATCTCTGAGATATCAAGAATACAAACCTAAAACACAATTCCTCCTTGTCTGGTATACATATGTTCACCAATGTAAATAAAAGAGTGGGTATTAAAAGTCTTAATTATAGAGAGGGAATAAAAGGTTAATGCTCTCATTATAGTTCCATCATTCAGCTATTGTAAATGAATGATTGGGGATATTATATTTCCAAAATCCTTCCCAGAGATTGGATAAGTAACTAGCTGTTAGTTGAGAACAGAAACCTATCTTAGGATAGGTATCTAGAACCCAGCCAGCTCATGAATCAGTAGTCATTAGATCATAACAAGACCCTAAATATCCTCCCACTCTTAGCAAACATAAATGTATGAAATAAAAAATATGGGTTGCCCGGCCTGTGTAACTCAGTGGTTGAGGATTGACCCATGAACCAGGAGGTCACAGTTCGATTCCAGTCAGGGCACGTGTCCGGGTTGCAGACTCCAACCCCAGAGTGGGTGTGCAGGAGGCAGTCGATCAATGATTCTCTTTCACCATTGACGTTTCTATCTCTCCCTCTCTCTCTCCCTTGCTCTCTCTGAGATCCATAAAAATATATTTTAAAAAAAGAAAATATGTGTTAATTTCAAGGACTCTTATTTCTGTTTGAGAAGGTCTTTCAATTATTTAGCCCTGACCCCAGGTGCAATGAAAGATCTTGACTCTTACTCACTAGGCCCACAGGGTCAGGCAGGTGCAGCCCACTTTCCCCCTCTGCAGGATCAGGCCTAGCCTGCGTCAGAGTTCCCTTAAAGGGACCTGTACCCACCCCATCTCCATCAAAGGCAGCCCCGAAGTCATGCTCTCCTGTCTTCATGGTCTCCACCAGGTCAGCGGCGTAGGTGAGGTTGGGGTCAGGGTGGTGGCCTCCGAAGTCCTCCAGAGGAACGCAGTTGACTGCCGAGTTGGCAGGGGCGCCGAGCTCTTCGCAGAGGATCTTCTTTACATACGGCCCCACCACTGCGGCCAGCAAGAAATGAAGACTCAGAAAATAAGGCTTATGAAAGCCCATGAGGGTTGGGGGACGAGGTAGAAAATGGCATGCACGACAATGAGAATGTGCAAACTGTAGGCAGGAGCTAGCGGACACATAAGCCCGGCTGGAGTTCTACAAACAGGAGTAATGAGAGATTAGGTCGGAAAGGGTGGGGACAGTTGATGAAGGAAAGAGTGGGGACAAGGGAAGGAGCTGACCATCATGAAGGCCCTAAGACATACCTGTGCCAGACACTTCCCGACCGTTTGCTCACTCAGTCCCTGAAAAGCCCACAGGTGGCACAGCTCAGTGTGTAAGAGCATGGACTCTGAAATCGGAGTGCCTGGGTTCAAACCCCAGCTCTGCCAATCGCCAGCTGTGTAATTCTGGGCAAGTTACTTAGTCTCTTTGTGCCTTTGTCTCCTCTATCTGCATAATGAGGATAATTGTAATAACTATCTAGCTGGGTGAAGTGAGTTAATAAATATGAAACACTAAAAACAGTACCGGCACATGGTATAAATGTTTGCATTATGATTATCACCTTATATAAAAGAAAACTAAGGTTCTGATATGAAGCTGTTTGCCCAAACTTACCCAGTAGGAGTGGGAACTGGGATTCAGAGCCCTAATCTTTCTACTCCAACCGTTATCTGACAAACTGATTAAAAGAGTGCAAAGACAGTAACTACAACAATGAACATCAGGAAAAACTAGCCCCATACTTTATGGTGACATCTAGTATAACTACCAAGAAATTCATCTCTAAAATACTGAGAACGTGTTTTCCTCAAAGAAGGTACTGACACCAATACACTGTGTTGCAGAGATCAGCACAGGATAGAATGTGCATCTCCCATTAGGACCACATGTTAAGGAAGCTGTTGACACAACAGAATGAGATCTAGGTGGCCAAGGCTATAAGGGATGTAGAAACGGAGGCATTAGAGCAGTGTTTTTCAACCTTTTTTGGGCAAAGGCACACTTGTTTCATGAAAAAAATCACGAGGCACACCACCATTAGAAAATGTTAAAAAATTTAACTCTGTGCCTATATTGACTATATATAAAGTAATTCTCTTGAATAGGAATCAAATAAACACAAAGAAAGTATTTTATAATTATTTTATTATGAAATATTAAGTAAACAAAATAGTGAAAAATTATAAAATTCTTGTCTTGTCTGCACCTACGGCACACCAGGCAACATCTCGCGGCACACTAGAGTGCCGCGGAACAGCGGTTGAAAAAACGCTGCATTAGAGGAACAATGGAAAGGCCTGAAGAAAAAAGTCTACTTCGTGACCAGCTCCTCTCAGCAAATGCTCCGTTATAAGCCCCATTCCTGAGCCAGCCTAGGCTTTCCCTCACTCCTCTACTGTGCCATCTTACAAACATAAAACTTCATGCATTTGCGACAGCCACTGCCTCACTGGGAGTGACCATCACTTGAGTTTCCACCACCCTTGATCTGTCTTACATAAAAGCTAAATTGGTTGCCTCTTCTTCCAAGAAACCTTGCTTAATACTGCCTTATCAAACTATACCTTCTTTCACACCCCAAAGAGAACACTTAAAATTCTATCTAATTCCTCATTTTGTTGGCCTGGTGATGTTAGTTTTTTATGTTGTTGTTGTTTTTTCCCCCCTAAATATATTCATATTGATTTCAAAGAGGAAGAGAGAGGGAGAGAGAGAGATAAAAACATCAATGACGAGAGAGAATCATTGACTGGCTCCCTCCTGCACACCCCACACTGGGGATCAAGCCCACAACCTGGGCATATGACCTTGAATGGAATCAAACCCAGGACCCTTCAGTCTGCTGGTCGATGCTCTATCCGCTGAGCCAAACCAGCTTGGGCCTGGTGATGTTAGTCTTTGAGTTCAGGTCTACCCACCAAGCATACACACAGTAGGTACTCAATACATGTGTGTCACATGGTTTGAAAAAACAGAATACCGGTACCATATTTTCCGGCGTACAAGACGACCCCCTAATTTTACAGTTAAAACATAGGTTTGGGCTTATATTCGCTGTATAAGACTACCCCCCACTTCTGAGGCAACACCAGTTCTTTTTTTAATAGACCGCCTCTCTGACTCTGGCCAATCTGAGCAGGCTTTTTACTAGAACACAGTGTACATGTTCTGTACCCGAAGCTCAGATTGGCTAGAGTCAGAGAGGCGGTCTATTAAAAAAAGAACTGGTATTGCCTCAGAAGTGGGGGGTAGTCTTATACAGCAAATAAAGGCCCAAACCTATGTTTTAACTGTAAAAATTAGGGGGTCGTCTTATACGCTGGAAAATACGGTAGCTTTTGTCTGAATAAAGTACACGCAGCCCAGCTGGAGAGGCTCAGCCGGTTAAGCGTTCTTCTGTGCACCAAAAGGTTGCTGCTTCAATTTCTGGTCAGGGCACATGCCTGCTTTACGGGTTTGATCCCCAGAAAGGGCCTGTGCTGAAGGCGACCGATCAGTGGTTCTCACATTGATTTTCATTTCTCTATCTATTCTATCTCTCTCTCTCTCTCTATCTCCCTTAATCTCTCTAAGCATGGCCTCAGGTGAAGTTTAACAAAAAGGGAGACCCATTCATGGGACTCCAGAGCCAAGTTAGGGCCCAAGGGAGGAGTTCCAGGATGGGAGATTCAGCCCTCCAGGAGAAGGCTTTCTAGCCCTGGTTATGCAGTGTTAATAGGAGGCTCTCAACAGCATTGTCAAAAGGGTTCAGCACAGTAGAAAGCCTTTCTCAGCCAGACAAGCAGCTGGATTCCAACACCAAGGAAAACCCTGCTGCTCAAAGCTTCCAAAATTCTAAATTATTACAAAACAAATGAGCAACCTACATGCTCAGGAATTCCCATATTCCTATAAGCAAGAAAACCTCATGGTTCACTTCACAATGACAGCTGCTGTCTCTACTGACCTGGCCACACACCCCCCAGAGGAAGAAGAGGGAGAGACACACATCCTGTTGTTTCTGAATTTAATCCTGGGCTTGCTCTGCCTGCTTCTAAGAAAAGGAGCATGCGGGGGCCGGCGAGAGGGGCTGAGGGGCTCAGGAGCGTGTTCACCACATCTAGTAAATGACAAAACGCCCCCTTGGAAAGAGTGGGGTAGAAGAATGTAAAGTATCTTCGGAGAGGCAGGAAGTGTCCACAAACGCAGCTGCACATGACACAAACCTGATGCTTAATGTGGAAACTGCCCTTCACACCACCTTGCTGTGGGGAATGTCTCCACTGCCTGCTGCTTACGGTTAGATTTTTACTCCTGTGGGTATTGTTGAAATGGTTGCAAAATAATTGTTTAAAAAAAAATATCAGAGATGGAAAATTACAAGAACCGTATGATTTTTACGCCTATGTGGGCTATAAAACAAACACATAGACATAGACCACAGTATGGTGGTTACCAGAGGGGAAAGGCGTGGAGGGTGGATGAAGAAGGTACAGGGGGTCAAATATATGATGATGGAAGGAGATGAGACTTTAGGTGGTGGATACAAGATGCAATATACAGATGATGTATTATAAGGTTGCATGCCTGAAACTTATAGAATGTGATTACCTAAAGTTATCCCCCATAAATTTAAATTAAAAAAATGAGGGGAGAAGAGCCAGAGAGAGTCTTAAAAAAAAAAAAAAAAAAGGCTTGTTGAAGCATCATGAGGCACAGAGCAGAGAGCAGCTTCACAGCTGAGGGAAGGGTGTAGCAGAGAAGCGGCCCGTACCTCCGTGCATGGCATCGATGCGGATCTTCAGCCGGTTTGGACCCGAAAGCAGTTCTTTCAGTGCGCTGAAATCAAAGATGTTCCTCAGCATCGCAGCGTACGCTTCCACCGAATCCACAATTTCCACTGTGGGAAGAGGCCATATTGAGAGATGGAGGAACCAAGCACATTTAGAAATGTTCTCCTCTGCAATGACTGCATGGCTGTAAACACGCCATAGTTATGTTAAAAAGCCGATTACTGAGCAGCCCTACGATGCCAGGCCTGGCACAGGACGGATCCAATACTAACAATGTTCCTTGGGGTACATGACAGGGTCCTGTTTTGTAGACAAGGAAACGCAAGGTCTGTAAGGTTAAACCACTTGTCCATGCAGCTGGGATGGGGCACTCACGGGATTTTTGATGGAGGTTTGTCTGGCGGTAAACTCAGCATTTCATTGATTCCCTATCCATCTTCATAAGAAGTATATTTTGGTGTCATAAGTAACAGAAAATGTGACACCTACTTTCCTTTCCTTTTTCCAGGCCTATTGCCATCAAGACTTAATGGTGAAAAGCAGGAAAAGGTATTTTTTTAATGAGTCATTTTCACATGCACCACTAAAGGAATAAAATAAATATAAGAACTTAGTATTGCTGGATTTTCAGGGGTCTGAACATTTTCAAGACATTAAGAATTTAGGAAATTCTCTTCTGATGTTTTCTAAACCCTAAGCAGGTCTTCAGGATGTGGCAAAGCACCACCTTCTCTTTGTTAGGATGCTACTGTCCGCTCTCCGTGGGTGGCCGCAAACAAAAAACGCAGTCCAGGGGGAAGAACACATGTTAGAGCAAAGTCAGAATGCAAGTTACGTTGCCAAGCATCTCACCCTTATTTGATTAATATGAATAATTTCACAAACTCTTACTCCATCAATCATTGTATTACAACATGTTTATTACAACTGCCTACACAGGGAGTTTCAATTTTCAATTTAGCCCCCAAAATGGTATAATTTGATTTTACTGAATATTAGGGCAGCGGGGGGGGGGGGGGGGAGGGGGAAGGGGGGATATCAAAACCCAAGCTTTGGAATCATTCACACCTGGGTTTGAATCCCAGCATATCACTCACTCCCTGTGTGAGCTGAGCCTGTTACTCAAGCTCTCTCAGCCTTTGTTTCCTCACCTGGAAAAAGTGAATACCAACAGTGCTGCCCTCACAGGGCTACTGAAAGAATAAAGCGGGAAAATAAGTGGTAAGAGCTAGGCACATAAAAATAAAGCTCAATAAAAGTTATTTATGAATATAATCTTACGAATCTTCTAGCCAAATTCGTGATATAAATATGGAAGCTGAGGCCTTAAGATTTGGAAATGACTTACCCAGGGTCACACTGCTGATCACTGGCAGTGCCCAGAGAGCCCAGGTCTCTGGAGTCCCAGACCCAATTCCAGATCTGCTAATTAATGCATGCAAAGCTCAGGGACCACAATCTTTCTGGAGCTGAACACCCATATTATTAAAACCTGGAAAGGCAAATGGCTCAAGTTGGAACTAGGAGTGGGCAGGAGGGGAAGGGAGAGGGAAACATGCCTGTGAAGGGTTTGAACTTGTTTTCCAGGTCAAACTGCTGCTTCCCCAGGACTCCAAGGTCTACTTTGAGGTCAGGGCAAATTGCATATTCTTCGATTGTCTTGCTGATTTGGAAAATCTTATCAGTTACTGCTTCGGGAGCTGGACCTGGAAACCAAATAGCAAACAGTGGGTCATTTTGTACAGCTAACATGTAAACACACACACACACACACACACACACACACACAAAAAAAAAAAAAAAAAAAAAAAAAAAAAAAAAAAAACCAACGCAAAACTCATCAATTCCTCTTCACTCACACATCTGCCATTCATCTCATCATCCAAGCAGCAAAGTATCCGGGTTTTCTAACAGAAAATATTCTGTTAATGATCATTGGTGCCTGGCTCCTCACGTTCAGGTACAGCAGAATGAGAAGCATTTAATTTCCATCAAAAGGAAACAAAGAGCCCCCTTACTAAGGACCAGAACCAGAACCCTGGCCTCCCACGGCATTGACTAGTGGCTTATCCTCCTTTGAGATAGATGACATGACAAGGTCACATGGCATCCAGTGACCTTGACCATCCTTAAAGTGACAGCACCCTCACCTCCATTGGAAATATTGAATTTGATTCCAAAATCTCCGTTGGGCCCTCCAGGATTGTGGCTGGCTGTCAAGATGATCCCACCAAGGGCTTTGATCTTTCGAATGATGCAGGAAACGGCAGGGGTGGAGAGGATTCCATTCTGCCCAATAACCAAGCGGCCAATCTAGGAGGAGAAATCCAGAACACACACTTTCGCATCAGTGAGTCCAGAGCTCCTGCACAGAAACCCTAGTCCCACAGGCAGGTGAACCAAGAACTATCCTATTGGACCGGGAAAGGTGTTCTTATGGAGTCTTTACAGCTTGGGTGGTTATTGTTATTTTGAGGTGGAATATTATTGTTGTTGACAAATAATACTATTATTGAAGTAAAAGTATTGTTGAACAAAGCCATTCCTTCAAATAGTTTTGGGAAACTGTGCAGTTTTAGTGTATGACTCTGGCAAGAAAACATAAGAATATGCAAAACAGAGTCTTTCCAGACCAGGTTCATAATTTGGATACACTGAAAGAGCGTGAGGAAACCCACATTTTTATCCAATTCAATCATACTTTCCATCCATGTTGGGAAAAGAATATAAGTTCAGCTTAAAAGAAATTCTAATCCAATGAGAAGACTTCTATAAGTTAAAATGTATAGAAAAGTAAAAAGAGACAAACTTTACATGAAGTCTATTACAAAATGTATCTCGGGATTTACATTTCCAGTCAAACTTAGATGTTAACACAACAGCATGCCTGGTACTGTCTGAGTCACCGCTGGGCCAAGGCTGGAATGCTGGGAGTTAGGCCTGGGTAAACCAGTCAGAACTACCCACATGAAAGGGCTACAGGTAATAGTTTTGTTGTGTTAACTCACCTTCCCATTATCTCTCAAAAATGGTATCAGCACAGCTCCTAGCTCTTCCTTCACTAACATGATAGTCATTTATATCTGTCTCAATATGACCCACATTGGGCACACATGGAGAAGACTGACATAGTTGGAGAAGATGTGACTGCCGCATAAAATGATTTATAACTAAGGAGTTTGTGCCCTCCCTCCATTCTTTCTTCTGAGACAAGAAAGGGATGGGAATGCTTTGAAATTTTCCATTTGTTATTTCCTTTGGGCTCATCAGAGATAAATATGGTCGAAGAAACAACTTGAGAGTAGATTTGTTTCTCATGGTGAACAGATCAATGAGATTCCGTTGGAAAGTTTCTCTGTGACTGTTACCTTTGCCATCCTCCCAGGGGTCACCCTCCCATCGGTTTCTGCCTTATAATTCCACCCTCCCACCACCACCCACCTCCCAGGAAGCAGCTGGTTCAATTTCAGTCACCTCTTGGCTAATATGTCTATCTCCATACAATTTCTGTTACACTAATATTTTTGTTATATCCTGCCTCCCTCGGGAAGTGATAACAATCAGGGTAAAGGCTATAAATAGGCTTCTTCATAAACTAGAAAATCCCAAAGATGGTGTGAAATCAGTATTATGATTATCCTGATCTTCTGAAAGCTTTCTAAAGCCCCACTTCCCATTCATTCTCACAAGGGCTCCTCCCCTTGTGTAGATGAAGCAGCTGAGGTCAAAGTTGTCACACTCCTGCCCATTTGGCTCATTCTTAATATCCTCCTAACAGCAAGTACAACAAGAAAGTATGGGAAGATGCTATGGTAGACTTTGGGATAGATGACATGACAAGGTCACATGGCATCCAGTGGCAATAGCTGGGAAAAGCATTGAAACGTCCTGACTCAATACGTGGGAATGGAAACATCTCACACGTCCAACAGTTTCCAGGTGTGGCTCCAATGAGAATAAAAGACTATGGTTGAGAAGTTCCATAATTTCAATAGGCAAAGCTTAGAAATGGCAACTTCCTCAGCCAGGGTGGCTGGTGGAGTTATCTGGAAATTATATTTGCACCTGAAGCATACTGACTTTTACTTAGACTTTGTATGTATATGGTGTGGAAGGAGAGACTGATAAAAAAAAAAAAATGAATCTATGCCACCCAAATCACCCCTTAATTCTACCATTCCTTATGGTGATGTCTGTAGTCAGTGATGGCCCAAGACTGAGGGGACTAAGCCAGGGGGTAACAGTAAAAAGAAAAGTTGAGAGAGAGAAGCCTTAGTAGCTTCTTTCTCTTGGGCCCAAGAAGAGGTCAAAACATCCCCTTCCAAAGCAAACTATTTCCCATGAATCACCCTCAGGAATATTAACTGTAAACTTGATGTTTGGAAAATATTACTCTGTTATCATCCTCCTGTTAAGGAAGTCTGAAGAATTATTACAGCTCCGGACTGTAACCTCCCCTGCTTCTCTCCCACCTGTACCTCTGCTGCTCTAACCTGGCCAAATTGAGCCTACCTCCTCAGGCCCACGTAGTTCACCTTTCTATAGTCCAGTGTCCCTCCTCAACTCAAAAATCCTCCCTGTACCATTTGATCCAGAAATTACACTTCTAGATATACACATAAAAGAAAGCAGCGACTCAAACAAATAACTTACACACCCTTGTTCATAACAGCATTATACACAACAGCCAAAGGTGAGAGCAACCCAAACATCCATCAACAGGTCAGTGGATAAACAATATGCAGGATATACATACAATGGAATAATACTCAGCCTTACAAAGGAATGAAACTCTGATACATGCTACAACAGGGATGAACCTTGAAAACATAAAATAAACCAGACACACAAGAACAGATATTGTCTGATTCTACTTATATGATGTACCTAAAATGGTCAAATTCATAGGCAGAAAGTAGAACAGAGGTTGCCAGGGCCTGGGGGGAAGGAAGCATGAGGAGTGACTGTTTAGTGGGTATACCGTTTTGGATGGAATGATAAAAGAGTTCTGGAAAAGGATAATGATGATGGTGACAGAACACTGAACGTCATCAATACCACTAAAGCATGCACTTAAAAATGGTTAAAATGCAAAATTTTGTTATGTATGATTTGCCATAAAAAAAGATAATAAAGAAGAAAAGATGCATCTTTCTCTGATTCCTCAGTGTCTACTGACTCAGAGGGAACCCCCCTCAGCCTGGCACTGAGAGTCCCTCTCCCACCAGTGTCCCCCGCCCTTCTCCTCTCCTGCTACTCCTGCCTGCCTCTCTCATATCACACCACCAATGGGTACCTCACTGTCCCCCAATATTTTACAGTCAGACATGACAGGAAGAAAACTTACATTTTCCTTTTAATTGAAAATGGGGCCTCGTGTCTTCTTATGTATCACAAAAGGCAAGATCCATTTTCTCCCCCCTGCTAGTCATATACACGGGTTCAAGTCTCATTTCTAAACGTACCTCTAAGTTCAAAGCTCTGGGGACCATATGAGATATCAGTATTAGAAACGGGGCACCACCAATATTTTATTTTGTACATTACAATTTCTTATAACTGCATACAGCTTTCTGCAAACAAAAACAAAGGGAAACTAACAAAGGCAAATTATATTCAATAATCCTTAAATGCACCAGATAAAGTGTACTAAAGGTCGGGGTGGTGGTGGTGGTGGGGGGAATGATCTCCATTTAGCTCGCTAGACTGAAAAGCCCTCTGAAGAACTGGCTCATGAATGGAGGAAGGAACACTGACTTCTACCGAACTCTGTGGTAGAAGATTATCTCTCCTTTAGATATCCTCCCTAGAGTTCTCCCCACAATCAAAGGGATGCTAAACTAGTCGGAATTTAGGATATGTTAGACAAAGAAGAAATCACACTGTATAGGATTTTAGAGGCTTTACCAGATTAACGTGCTGTATTGGCCCACTGAATGTGTCAAGTCATCCATCTGGGTAGCAGGACTGCTCTAAAGGCAACGCTATTTTGAATAAAGAATGCCCTTGCAAAGACATGAAATTATTGCTTGCGCTGGCTGCCATGCCATAGGCAGTTACCATATTTAGTCAATGATTAGCACTTAAATGTATAATTGAGCAAACCTTCAGATTGTAACACTGAGGAAGTCTCTAGGGTCTGCCTGAATTACACATTCCTACCACCTCTTCCACATCCTTCAGCTCCACACAAAAATGAAATGAAGCCAAATACATCACAGCAAAGGGGACAGTGTACCAGATGCTCTCAACAGCCCAGATATATGCAGAGAAATAATGTTCCATTCATTCTCTCTCAAAAGATTAAAAGCATCTTAATACCATTCCCTTTGCAGCTCTCCTCAAAGGTGAAATTTATAGCATGCCACATTTTATCTTAAAAATGTGTATGTGTCATAATAATTTCATATGTGAGTGCTTTATCAGCAATTTTTACATGAAAGGCATTCCGATTCTGAAACTAGGTAGAAAGGAAACGTTGCAATTGAAAGCAATAGAATTTACAAACATTTAAAAAATTTAATTTGGTAGTGTTTTTGTTGTTGTTTAATTTGGCTTTTGCAATCAGACCGGCTTGGCATCTCATTAAAATAGACAGAAAATGAGTGCCCAACACATTCGATGGCAATGCTAAATTATGATCCCAGTAAGAGAACTGCTTCCAGAGAGAACATTTTATAAATTTATAAGTACTAAAAGACTTTGTTCTCCAAATTATTGCTAAGTATAATCTAAAACACTAAATATATATATATATATATATATATATATATATATATATATATATATATATATATATATTGGTCTCACGGAGGGATTTGCAGAGCAAAGACAGTTCCTGTAAGTCAGTGGGGCCGTGCCAATTGTTAAATTATCAAGATCAGTGCTTTCTCCACTGATTCCTTCTGATTTGGTTGATTCAGGCAACAAGGCTTTTCCCAATGTGAAGCCTTAGCAGAGCCTCCTTACAGTAAAGTCTCACCGGAGTTATCATCTCTATTCTGCTGCACAAGTTCCCTGCACACAGGGCCGCTTTGTGTCCAAGGTCATTATGAGCAGGCTCCCCCCTAACAGGTCCTCTTGGGAGACTCACACCTAACATTTTTCCATCCCCTCCTCGCATTTCTGCATGACTACCAGGATTCAACAACAACAGCATGGACTGGCTTTTGTTTTCCTGTTTGACAAGTGACTGAACTTCAACAAGGAAGCCACTGAAAGAAAACAAAACCCTCCTCTCTCCACTACTCATGAGAGCCTCCTTAGAAAAGACAGAGTGCCCTCAAAACTGGTTAGAATGTATTCAGGAGAGCTTACGGCTGGGGGTGCGCTTTAAGTGTCTAATAAGCAACAGGTACTTGTCCAAGCAATAGGTACAGAGCACAGCACACAAAAGGTTGAACTTACGTCCCTATGCTGCAATGTGGCGTGTAATTTCAGCAGCATTTTCACAGGAGTCTATCTCTGAAGTCACAATGAAACCTGACTGGATGTTAGTAGGACTGAGGTGCATACCCCAAACAAATCCTTGTCCTTCTGTATATTTCTGCACAATGAAGAGGTTATGTGGACAGCCAGAATCACAACAACACATTGGTATACCAACCCCATTGGCGGCCGCCATCTGCACTATTGTTTCTACCGCCGACTTATTAAAATACCTCCCGTCTCCACCAACCACCAGTGAGGATCCCTGGCGATCTTTTAGGTCTACAGAAAAGAATATGCTCTGGATAAAATTTTCCAGGTAGCCTGGCTTTGCCTCGAAACAATAGGTTTTCTTCCGTAATCCGCTAGTTCCTGGTTTCTGGTCATGGTAGGGGGCTGTAGCAAAGGTCAACAGAGGGAGAGGACCTTCTTCCATGTTCCTGTATTTCCCAAAAATCCATGCATCAAAATCACTCATCTTTTCATTTCCACCACTTGGCTCAGCGCGGGTGTCCAGAAAGCAGCGAAGAGCTCCCCAAACGGTGCCGTACAGACCGACGCTGCAACTGTGTCCTCCGAGTCACTAAAATAGCGGCCCTGTCTGGACAGTGGCTCCAGGGAGGAAGCTGGCTGGATCCCTTGTTGAGGCCGCCCCTTGTGAGCGAGTTCAGGGCCGCCACCCACCCACATCCACACGCAAAGCAATCTTCAAAGTTGTTTTGGTGAGGACACTCCTGCCCACACAACCAAGCCAAACACCCTTCAATTATGTTTGCCTCATCTCCCGTTCGGGTGGAGGTAGCTCCGAAGGGTGCTGTGTGCAGCAGACTTCAGTTACAAACACCAGATGGCTGCCAGACTCCGCTCGCCGAGCCCGGGCAAAGACAGCCAGTGCAGACCCAGGAAGCAGGCTGTGAATAAGACACCCTGGGGTGGCTCCCGCTGCTCCTGACACCCCTTACACCAGAGCCTCTCTGGGCAGTCATCACCGAGAAGGCCATCTGAAGCTAAAGCCGTCCCATGCCATCTAGCAAGTTAAAGGTCAATCTTAAAATGGAAGTGAGGAATGGGTGACCTCCTGGGCTCCTTACATCACTGTCACTTTGATACCCAAGTGATTTTTTTACTTCCCACACACAATTCCAGGTAAAAGGCGGGGGAGGGATCATTTAACAGAACACATTTATTCACGGACCACAAAGGATTTAACAAAATAGTATTTAGTTCTAGGAGAACAGATACCTACAAATATGCTGTGAATGATTGACAGCTCGGTCATTTCCTTGAAAAGTGGGAATGAAGATGCTCCAAACCCTTGAAGTATGTGTTTTGAGTGTATGAGGTTCGATCAAGTTATTTATTTAGAAAAATACTATTATATATACATAAATTTTGTGTTTTAATTTTCTCATTTTCAAATAGTCTTGGCTTTTAATGAAACAGTTTAAGTCCTTTGCATTTGAAGAACCTAAAATGTTTTGAAACATACTGCCTGAATAAATTTAATGTCGAACCCCATCTGACCCCTGAGATTGTATTAATAATCTACTTAAATGCATGCATATGTGTCCTTTATCTGGTTCAGCAGAAGTTGTTAATTAAGCTCCACTGTCAAGGTTTTGGCAGACTTGTCAGGGATGCTTCTTAAAAAGTGAACCAGTACTAGTTACACCACATGTCTGAAGAATTTGACATGCACTGAGGAGTCAAGGTTTTCAAGAAAAAAAGTGAAATCTGTTGACAAACAAAATCTGAGTATTTCCCAGATTTTCAGCAGGGTCCAAACGTGAGCTACTGCTGAGAGCAGCAGGCTGCCCTCTCTGAGGCATGAATGCCTGCATCCCAGGTCTGCTCTGAGCAGGACCAGCAAAACCAACAGCCCCATGAGCAGAAAGCAGCTCCCGGCAAAGGAGCCTGATTTCTTCCAATGACACATGGGGCTGGTCTATGTGCAGGGAAGACCTCGAGACATAACATTTAAACAAGTCACAAGACACAGTTGAAGACCAGTTAGCCAAAAGACAATGACTTTTTATAGCTTATTTTTGCTTAGGATAGTTTTTTAAAACTACAATTCTTTAAAAGTTAATTTACAAAGTACGCTTGCTTTAGTATCAGTTTACACACGCACTGTTTTTCAACTTACTACAATGCATTTTTTTAAATTCATATTTTTTAAGTTCGGTGCCCAGTTTCCTCTGGTTTTAGAAAGGCTTACAAATGAAGCCAGCTTATAGGTCTTGACATACTTAATAACAGATGCAGATTCATGAAATATCAACCCAATAATCTTTTCATTGGGAATAACAGGACAACCAGCCACATAATTGGCAGTTTTCTGAGTGAGGTCTTGAAATCCCAGGGTAGGTCCAGGGATACTGGGTCACAGGGGTGCCCCACTGCCCACACACTCCAGCATGCTCTCCGCTGGTGGTCTGCCACCATCCACGTGATGCTCTTGCAGAAGTTAGAACTCAAAGAATCACGTTTTGTTGGGGGTTTTTTCCACACATTCATTTATTTCATTTATAGCTTGTGGTTAATTGATTCCATAAAATGAGAAATTATGAAGAATCAAGGCATAAGTATACAAATTCAAACACAAAAAATATACACAGAAGAGTGGGTTCATCTGCAGCATAAGACCCAACAGCAGATCTTTCAAAGGATGGCGAACGCTTGCTTTGTTTCCTTGAAGACCACGTCCACATCGGATACTAGGACACCTCCGTTTATTGGTGTGTGCTCACATGCACCAAAACTTGTTTCTAAAAATATTTTTCCACCTTGTAACTGTTGTTTCTAGAATTAAGCCCACTCTTGGGCCTCGTGCCAGTTTCTAACGATCTGAAAACTGACACACAAAGTCTTCCAAATGTAAATATTCTGATTTTTAAAGGTTAAAATAATGTTTCTAAAGCGGTTATTGAAAACTTAATTATGCTGGCCCTATTCCATTTCTTATCTTTCCAAATACTTGATATGTCACCTTAGAGTTCATTATTTGCTTGCCTCTTCATTTCAAGATCGTTAAATGTACCACCCCAGCTGGTCATCTTCATATTGAAATAATTCTTTAACACAAGTGGGAATAGAGAGCAGTGTGTGAGCATTGAGAGGTCATACATGTCTGTGAGAAGTCTGGCACACTAGGTAAACCCAGGGTCCCCCTCTTGAGTGGACTATCTGTGTGGGCACAGTTACATTTTCACTTCCCTGCAGTGAGCCAGCTGTCCAGCCAAATGCGGAATGGGAAAGAATCCCATCTCTCGTGGCTCTCGCACACATCGATAAACACCCAACCATTTAAGTGCACCCAAAATCCAAGGCTCCAACAGGTCTTTGGCCAAAACAGAAAGCAACATTTTCAGCAACTACTTATGTCTGTCCTGATGTTTGTCAACATGCAAGCCCAGACCAAAAAGGACATAAGCCTTGCCCTAAAAAAGCTTCTATTCTAAGAATGGGCCTGAGTCATAATTTTATGGCCACTAAAGTACTCAACCCCATATAAAAATATTACCAGAAGCAGCAATGTTAGATGGACTGTGAAGTGTGGTAAAAAAAGGAGAGGCATTAAAAACATTAAGCTCCCGCAGGCGCTAGGACTAAGTGGGGCAGCTATTAAGAAGCTCATTTGCTGGAGTTCTCCAGCAAAGGTTGAACTCCATCTTCGGGAATGTTACTGTCGAGCATAGCAAACCCAATTTGGCCTAATGAATCTGCCTGCATCGCCAGTACTCCTTCACAATGACACAAATTACATTTAAACCATATGGGGGACTTAAGGATCACTCCCTTCAGACAAGGAACTTTCATACTGGTCTTGGGTCCAATCAATTTCACGATGGCAGAGTTATGAACCTCTCCACTCCCGGCTTCTCAAAGATGCCAGCCCCCATTCTGATCAGCAAGGATGCCTTCCAAGTAGAACGCGGCAGACACTGTAGGCTTGCCAAGCCTTTTATTCATTCTATCTTTCTTTGTTTCTTTCCGTCGATAAATATTTATTGGGTAGCTAACTATCATGTGCGAAGGCTGAATCCAGGGCCTAAATAGATTCGCCTCTTCATACCAAGAGATTTTCTTTAGCAAATGCCCCAAGAGTGGGCATCAAGGATAGAACTGCTAACCCTGTATCTGGGCACAAGCACTGGAAAGAAAGCTGCTAATTGGGCTAAAAGCAGTAGGAATCATCAGATCAGAGGCCCGGGAGCTTATGACTGGCTACAGGTGCCTGCCCCTGACTTCTTGGGGTGGTTGAGCCCAGTGACAGGACACACTAGCTGGGAAGAAGTCATTCATTTCCCCAAATAATGGGGAAAGCATGTGCTAAATGCCAGCCTCAGTGCAGGCACTGCAGGACAATGGGAAGGCTCACAGGTTTAGGAGCCAGACACATGCAGGACTCAACCCTTGGACTCCAAAATGGATCAGAAGCACCATCTTGAGGGTGTTACTCAACTGAACTGAGCCTGTAAAATGAGGACAGCTCTCAAGGTTGTTCTGAAAACTGAATCAGGAAACATTCGTGAAAACAGTACTGTGTCTGGCAGATAGCAAATTTTCAGTAAATGTGTCCTCTCACCCCACCGACTCTCTCTTTCTTCACTCCTAACGTGGGATAACAGTACCTGCCTCACAAGGTTTTTGTGAAAATGACCTCACTGGATGTCCATGGGAACCTTTGTGAACTACAAAACAATGTAAAATATGAAAAATGTTTTTCACATTCTGGGCAGGGGTGGGGATAATAAAAAAGGTGGATGGACCTTTGTTCTTAGAAGATCGGACCAGAGAGGAGCCACCACCACACAGGGGCGTCGGCAGAGCCCCAGCGGTGCGTGTCCAGGGCTATGGCTCTCAAGAGGTGAGACTGGAGAAATATTGGGGGTAAGGATTATAGAGTCTCATGAACCACAATGAAGTTTATTTTGTAGGCCCCGGAAGCTATGGAAATTTTTAAGCAGAAAGAATGTGAACTCATACATTTTTTGGAAAGCTGAGTGGCTCTAGAGCTGCATCGAATAGCTTAGAGTAGTAGAGACTGAAGAAAGACTAACCAAGGATTGCAAAAAGGACTCCTTCCTCAGCTGTGATGGCTCTGAAGGATCCTTTCCTCACCTGGTCAGTGTGATCCCGCCCAGAGCTGTTCCTCTGCTGCCTCCTACACCTGACTCTAACTCTTTGAGTCCTTGGGCCAGTTGAGCCCAGTTGGGTTTTCTTTTGCTCTAACATGAAGACACTTACCCAAACATCTCTCTTTCCTCTGACTCCTTCTCCACATACTGTCTTCCACTCATTCCCTCTCTTCTCTGAAAACTGGCCCCCCACCCCAGTGCACAGGACTAAATTCCTGGAGCCATGTTGCTACTACAGGACTCTGAAGTCAGACCATGATCTCCAGGGGTGGACACCTAACCAAGGCTGGAGCAGCCATACTTTCTCTCCGAGCAATCCTGAACCAGGACACAAAAGGGTACTAGTCAGATT